ATTTACTTGTTCAGTGTCATGTCAACCAAACTACCAAAAGATTACTTTATTGAGTCAGGGAAAAAATGGTAACAAAATTCATTCAGAGGAACAAAAGTCAAGAATACCAAGGGAATTAATGGGGAAAAAAAGTGCGATAAAAGGGGGCCTAGCAGAAATACTACACTACAAAGTAGTCATTATCAAAACAGTTTGGGAAGAGACAAGAAATAGAAAGGTTGATCAATGGAACAGATCAGTGGGAGCAAATGAGCACAGTAACCAAGAATGTGGAAAACCCAAAGATGCCAGCTATTGAGACAAGAACTCACTATCTGACAAAAATGTTAGGAAAACTGGAAAGTTTTTGTCTGTCAGAAATTAGTTATAGCCCAACATCTCACACAGAGAAGCTCCCAAAGGATACATGACTTAGACATAACGGGTGACAGCATAAACAATTTAGAGAAGCAAGGAAAAAATTACCTTTCAGATTTATGGATGAGGAAGAGTTCCTGATCAAATAAGATAAAGAGGTTCACAGGAAATAAAATAGATTACATAAAATTAAAAAGCTTTTGCACAACAAAACCAATGCAGCTAAAATTAACAGGAAAGCAGAAAACTAGGGGCTTGGGGGGATTTTGAAGCACATTTCTCTGATAAAGGTCTCATTTCTAAGATCTATATGGAACTCAGTCAAATTTATGAGAATAACAACTATTCTTCAACGGGTGAAAGGTCAAAGGACACAATTAGACAATATTCAAAGGAAGAAATCCAAATTACAACTAGCCACGTGAAAAATGGCAGCTAGGTGGCTGAGATAAAGTGCTGGGCCTGGAGTTAGGAAGACTCATCTTCCCAAGTTCAAATCTGGCCTTAGACACTTACTAGATGTGTAACCCTGGGCAAGTCATTTAACCCTATTTGTCTCAGTTTCCTCATCTGTAAAATGAGCTAGAGAAGGAACTGACAAACCACTCTAATATCTTTGTCAAGAAAACCCTCACGGGGTCATGAAGAATAGGACACAACTGAAAAACATCTGAACAACAACAAATGTGGAAAATGCTCCAAATCATTAACAAGTAGAGAAATTCAAATTAAAACAGATCTGAGGTATCAACTCACATGCATCAGACTGGCTAAGGTGACAAGGAAAAAAAAAGGAAAATGACATTCTAGAAGGAGTGTGGGGAAAACAGGTATACTAATGCATTATTGGTGGAACTGTATTGATCTGAGCTTTCAGAAAAGCTATTTGGAAATGTATCCCACCAAATTATTAAACTATACATACTCTTCAACCCAGTGATACCACTACTAGGCCTATATCCCAAAGAGATCTTAAAAAAGAGGAAAAGGGCCCATTTGTATAAAAATATTCATAGACCTTTTCATGGTACCAAAGAATTGGAAACTGAAGGAGTATCCATCAGTTGGGGAATGGCTGACCAAGTTATGGTATACATATGTGATGGAGTGCTTTTGTGCTATAAGGAATAATAAAGGGAATGATTTTAGAAAAACCTGAAAAGACTTGTATGAACTGATAACAGAATGAAGTGAGCAAAACCAGAACAATTTATAAAACAGCAACTTAGAAAGACTTGGGAGCTCTGAGCAACACAATATAACCAATCACAGTTCCAGAGGACACATGTTGAAGCATGCAACCCACCTCCACAGAGAGAGGTAATGGACTCAGAGTGCAGATGAAGCATATTTGTTTGGGGCATGGCTAATGCGTGGATTTGTTTTGCTTGACTATACATATTTGTAATGGATTCTGTTTTTCTTTCTCAAATGAGTAGGCAAAGGAGAGGAAGGAGGGAAAGAATTTGGAATTGATGTTAAAATAAAATTGTACTGAAGCTAAAAAGCTATGAGGAATTGTGCCTTACTGGAGGATTGTCATGGGCAGCACAAACGCCTGGGGAGCTGTACTCAGCTGTATCAATTCAGTGTCCTCACTAATTATCCTTGTTGGATATCCTCACTCAGCTGCAAAGAAAGAAGTAAATCTCCTTTTGTTAAGTGTCAGATCTTCTTATGAACACAAATACAAAGCACTTTTCACACAAATAAAGACATCTAAATAACTGGAGAGATACTAATTTCTCATGGGGAAGCTGAGCCAGTGCAATAAAAATGACAATACTACCTAAATTAATTTACTTATTTAGTGCCATACCAAACTACCAAAGAATTACTTTAGAGAGCTAGAAAAAAATCATAACAAAATTAATCTGAAAGAACATGGTCAAAAAATATTAAGGAAATCAATTTTTTAAAATGGGAGGGAAGGGAGCATGCCACTACTAGATCTCAAACCATACTACAAAACTGTAATTACATCAAACAATTTGGTACTGGGTGAAAACACAGAGGTTGATCAGTGGAACAGATTAGGTAGACAATATTATAGAAGCAAATGAGCACAGTAGTCTAGCATTTGATAAACCCAATGATTCCAGTTATTATGGCAAGAGCTCACTATTTGATAAAGAGTGTTGGGAAAATTAGAAAGTTTCTGTCTGAGAGAAACCAGCTATAGACCAATATCTCACACAATATACCAAGATCATCTCGAAAGGGATACATGACTTGGACATAAAGGATGACATCAAAAATAAATTAGAGAAGCAAGGAAGAAATTATGTCAGAGCTATGGATGCGGAAGAGTTCATGACTGAAAAAAGAGATGGACTCAAGTAAAAAAAAAAGGCAATTTTGATCAAGTAAAATTAAAAAAGATTTTGCACAAAAATATCAATGTAATGAAAATTATAAGAGAATAAGTTAAATGGAGAAAAAATATTTTCAATATTTCTCTGATAAATATTTCATTTGGAAGCTAAATGGGGAAATGATTCAAATCATAAGAATAAGAGCCATTTCCTAATTGGCAGTATTCAGATGAAGAAATCCAAGTAATTTGTCATATGAAGCCATGCACTAAAATACTAATAATGATAGGAATGCAAATCAAAACAATTTTAAGGTTCCACCTCATACCCATTGATAAAGTTGACAAAAAGGGAAATGACAAGTGTTGGAGGAACTTTGGGAAAACAAGTATATTTATGTAGAGATGTGAACTGGCCTAGACATTCTGGAAAGCAATTTCAAACTATGCCCCAAAAGCTATTAAATTGTACATACCTTTTGATCCAATGATATCACTACTAGTTCTTTGACCCAAAGAAATCAAAGAAGAGAAAAGATTCATGTTTCCAAAAAAAATTGTTTGTAATAATGGACAGCATTTTTATATAGTGTTTTAAGGTTTACAAAGCACTTTACATGTTATCTCACTGATCTTCACACTAACCTTGTGAGCTAAGCACTATAATTTTATAGCAGTTTTTTTTTCAGTGGCAAAGAACTGAAATTTGATGTGCTACTTTTCAAAATGTGTGAATGGTTGAACAAATTGTAGAATATGAATGTGATAGAATACTTATGTGCCATAAGAAATAATGAAGGGGATAATTTCAGAGAAATCTAAGAAAACCTGTATGAACTGATTCAGAGAATGATTTATGCAACAATAAGAATACTGCAAAGACAAACAACTCTGAAAGAATTAGGAACTTGATCAGTGCAATGACCAACATGACTTCAGAAGACTCATGATGAAACATGCTACCTACATCCCCTAACAGAGAGGTGATGAACTCAAGAACACAGAGTGACACATATTCATTTGGACACATGGCCAGTATGATCATATTTTTTTTTTGCTTGACTGTACATTTTTGTAATTGGGATTTTTGTTTGTTTCTTTGTTTTCTCAGAGGGGTCATGGGGGAAGAGGTGGGAAGGACAGTAGGCAAATCTCATTTGGAAAAAAAAATTTAAAAATTTTTTAGAAATAAATACTACCTCTGATGCTTACTACCTTGGACAATTCACTTAACCTCCCCCTCAGATAAGCCTTGATTAGCTCATCTGAAAAATGAGGTTGACCTACATAGACTCTGAGGTATAGAACTCCTGGATACTTTGCATATTATCTCCTTATCAAATGAGATACTTGTAAAGAGCTTAGCACATGCCTGGCACCTAGTAGGTGCTTAATAAATGTCTGTCTTCCCTTTCTTTGTCCCATTACCTTACAATAGTATAAAGCCTGAAATCAGCAAGATTTCCTTTGGCTTACTATCCTTATTTTCCTTTTATCAAGTAAGCGTCATCTGTCATCTCTATTAGGAAAAGCAAATTCAACATTTAATATTAGGGCTTTAGGCTCAAAAATAGCAGCTTAGCAAACGTCCACTTTACCTCGGGAATCACAAGAGTCTACTATTTTTTAGCGGTACTGGAAATCTCCCCATCTATCCCAGATCATGTCCCTAAGCTGGTCCTCAGACCACAGGCCGATGTTTAGAACCATCTTTCCAGGTGGGTAGACCTAGCAGAGTTTGTGCTATACTGGCCCTGTGGTAGGGTCTGAACATATAGCACATGGAATTTCTGATGAGGACCTCCCTGTACCAATGCAGGTCTTATAGTCTTAGAGAGCTGCCTAAGGCACAAAGGTTAAATGACTTGCCCAGAGTCACTGAGCCATTATGTGTCAGAGGTGGGATGTGAACCCAGGTCTTCTTTGTTATACAGTTTTCTACACCTTAGTACACTGGCAAAGCCTCTGAAAACACAGGGCTACCTCCATACCCTAAGAAAGGGGTAGGGAACCTGTGACCTCAAGTCCACATGTGGCCCTCTAGGTCCTCAACTGAGGCCCTTTGACTGAATCCAAACTTCACAGAACAAATCCCAAAAAGATCCTTCTGTGAAGTTTGGACTCAGTCAAAGGGCCGCACTTGAGGACCTAGACGGCCACATGTGGCCTTGAGGCCACACATTCTCCATCCCTGCCCTAAGACATCAAAATTTAGTGGAACGACAAAAATCACACTTTTTTTTAATGGGCAAGACAGTGACTTGGTTTTGCTTTTTTATTATTATTATTTATTATTATAGATAAAAAGAACCAGCAATGTCTTTAGGAAATTGTAGTTGGAATAAGAAACTGAAGCTAAATTATTACTGCCTCTGTATAGAAACATTGTTAACATGAGATCCAACTAATAAAAGTACTTTTTCCAAGCAAACAAAAGTGATTCAAAGGTTATGTAGGTCAACTTGTAATGTTGAAGATTAATTCTTGGTTGTATTTTCTATACTCTCCAATAATGATTTTCTTCTCCTTCTATGCAAGACTTTAACTCTCACTCTGTCATGGAAGATGGTCCCTTTGCAATCATAGCCAAACCAAATGGGAGGGTCCTCAATACTGTATTCACAATATTCAACTTGAGATGAAATTCGGAAATCTGCCACCCTACAACAGAAAGGGTCATTAGTTGATAACAACAGTTCTGACTGGGGAAAAATCTTCTAACTAAATCGAATTCCAAAGAATACATGGATGCTTCCTCAGAGTTTGTTAACCAGTTACCAGTGCTGACATACCTTTTGTCTTGCCTAGGAAGGTAATTTGCTATGATACAGTCAGATGGCTAAGATACCAACCTTGCATTTGTAACTCTTCCACTCTCCTTCCCCATCCCCACTCCCTAGTGTAGGCATTAATACTTTGGAAGATGAAGATGGAATGACTTGGATCTGTAATTATATTGGACCAGCAACTGGTCTGCAAAAATCCATAAAGATTGGGTTTGTAATCTAGAACCTTCACTCAGTTGTTTTTACTAGAGAGTGCAACTGAGGGAATAGGTGTATTAGTTACAGATAGTGGGACATTCCAGATATCCCTTGAATCCTCCCCTCTGGCTATTCAGAGAGATAGAGACAAGAACATGAATGAATGAAAACACATTTATTAAATGTTTATGAAGAGGAGGGAGGGGGAGAGGAGGACAGGGAGGGCAGAGGGCAGTTTCCAAGAAGCCCAACACACTCAGGTCTCCTGAGTTCTTAAAGATGATCTCTTCTAAATCTCTCAAAAAAGGTTTTCACCTAATCTCATTTCTTTGACTCTTCTACCTCTTCATTTGCTACTACACACTATCTCCCTGCCCTTTGTGGACAAATATTTAGACAAATTACTTACTCCTCCTTTGGTTTCTGAGACATTATCCTCCTACCTCTTTATTCCTCTTTCTTTCACTGGCTACTTGTCCTTTTCTTGATCCCTTAAGAAGGGTGTTCACCCAATCAGCTCTCCTCCATCCCTTCTCCATAATCTCTCTTGGCAATCCTCTGTGGCTTTAACAATCCCTTCTACTTAGTTGATCTAAAAATGTGTCTCTACCCTTGACCTCTCTCCTCAACTACCATCCCATCATTCTAACCCTCAGGGCATCTCTACCCAAGTTTATAAGAAGAAAATAAAATTCAGTATGTCCTAAACTGACTTTATTATCTTTTTCTAGAAAACCAGCTTCTAGAAAATTTTTCAGTTCCATCATCATTCACCTTTTCTCTCATGTTCAAAATCATGGAGGTTCGATTTAACTTTTCCCTATCCCTCACCCAGCAACATCCAATCAGTTACTAACTCTTGTATATTCTACCTCTGCAATATTTTTCACATCTGTCCCGAAATACAGGTCATTGTCACATTCCTGAACGATTGGAATGGATTCCAAATAGTTTTTTTTCCCCCTTTTCCCTCTCTCTCCAACTCACTATCAGACAAATAAATCTATTCAAATGACTTCACTAATCTGTTTCAAAACTCTTTTACCTAACAATCTACCCCTTCATCTCCAGCCAGGTGTAGAAGAAAGAGCATGAGACTTAGGCCTAGAAAATCTAGATTGTGTCCTGGCTTTGAAACATCCTATGTAACTTTGGGCAGGCCATTTCAAAATCTCTGCTTTCTCATCTATAAAATGAGGATAATAATAGTTTTACTATTAGGTTTGTGAGCCGTAAAGCCGTATTTGTGTGAATTATCATTATTACACACTACTCCCCTTCACATTCCATAGTCTCATCCTCTATCCATGCTCTCATTATGACTTCTTTTAAGCATCAGTCACACTGGACCACTAAACATCCTCATTCTTTACTGTGTTTCTGCCCTCAGTGCTATTTCCTGTGCCTTGAGTGTTCTACTCTTATACCCATACTCCCACCCCCATATTAAATTCCTTTAAAACTCATCTCAACTTCGTACCTTCTCCAGAAAGCTTTCTCTGCCCCCTCCCTCCCATCAGAAATGATCTTATCCCCATCCACCCATAGATATTATTTTATTTACACCTCTCTGAACTTACTTTTGCATTTCCTATTCTGGTTATTTGTGCATATGCCACATCCCCCAACTAGACTGTAATCTCCAGGAGGGCACTAACAATATGTTCTCCAAATAAGGTACCTCTCCTCCTGCCTAGCACTTGTACTCTATACAAAGTAGGTGTTTAATAAGTGTTTTTTCTGAATTGTACACAGAAGCAGGACTTCATTAGAAAGAAGTAAGCAATCTGATTTGTCCCAAATGATACAATGCATACCAAATATTCTTTCAGACTAGAACAGGGGTGTCAGACTCAAGAAGAAAGGGATCCCTGCAAGCACATACTGGCTTAGAAAACCACAAATAAATATTATCTATGTTGCACTGAATTTTTATTTGTTTTGTTAAATATTTCCCAATTTATCTGATTTGACCACACTAAGCAGTTTTGTGGCAGCTCAAGTTTGACACCTCTGGCCTAGGAAACCAGCACTAACTAATAAATAAAAATTATGTGCTCTGGAAGAGCTAGAATCTGGCAATATGGATAGTGTCAAAAATATGCCATGATGGTATTGCCTATTCAAACATCTTTTCCACAGCTAACTTAATATTCTGTGCATGTTACCCATGCTTACCATCTACTAACTGGATCACTGTTAGCAGGGTAAGGAGCTTGGTGTTGCCACATATTAGGAGTTAAGATTTTGGCAAATAGCTATGGGAGTACAATCTATATACTGATGCTAGAAAAAAATTAAAAGTACTCAAGACATACATTTGTTGATTCTACCGAACCATTTCACTGAAAAATAAAATACATGTAGTTATGTAGCTCAATCAGAAGGCAACAGAAGCACTGTTAATTCAAATCCTACTTACTTCACTGCATTTTGGCTCACATATTTCAGCTTATGTGAAGAGTACAAAAGTTCAAGGAGTGGTGTTAGTTAAAGCCATTGTTTAACTATATGAACTTATGGCTCTGAGCCATAAATTCCCTGTGGGCTGAGACTTGGCACACCAGGACTTTTTCTTTACAGAAATATTTTGTTCCAGATTTTAAAACCATAAGTTCACAGTGGGGGATATGGTTTTTTTCATGCCATAAAAATTAAAGTAGGTGTTTAAAATGCTTTCCTAAGTTTTTAACCATTTATGTGATCGTTGAATGTTCTTGAACTAATCTCTTGAACCTTTCCTGAACCAAAAAGGGTTGCAATGATAAGGACTTTTGCTTTTATCTCTTTTAAAGACTTATTTTCCTCCCCTGACTTCTTTCTCTTTCATTCTATGCGATTGAGAATCCCATAATTTGCAAATTGTATTTTATGGGGCATTTTAACTTTAGGTCCTGTCTCAACATGTCACCAGAGTATGAGGGATCTCAGGCATGACAAATACTGTAGCAAGGTTCCTCAAATCTATTATCAATAATAGTCAATACTCCTGTGCAAAGTACTGGAGATACAAATAAGAAGGACAGTCTCTGCCCTCAAGGAGCTTGTAATCGAGTAGGGGAAGATAATACACATAGATAATACACCTTAGCTAATAAGGGCATGTTGGTGTAGGCATGATGTTCCTGGGGTCTAAACCAAACAAAGCAGCTGGTAGGAAATATAGAGTGGGAAATTCTGAGTCCTCTACAAAGGCAAGCTTTGGGAGTTGTTTTTTGCTCTGCACTTTAGTCTCCACTCAGAAGAGAAAGGCAATTAAGGGTACTCAGGAGTTGTTGAGTTACCAAAGCTGAACCAATCTCCAGGGTGATGAGATTTCTGATGATAAGCTTATCCTGGGGGAAGCATAATGTTCAATGAGTCTAAACCAAGCAGAGTTTGTGCTCTATTTCTCTTACATTAAATCTACCTATGTTTCTTCTTTCTCAGTCAAACTTCTAGAAAAAGCTGTCTACATTACAAAAAGTCACTTTAATTTCTTCATCTCTCTTGCTCCTGAACCCCTTGAAATATGGCTTCTGACCTCCTCACTCACCTAGATCTATTCTCTCCAAAATTGCCAGTGATATCTTAATTATGAAGTCTTATCTGTCTGACCGCTCCTCTTTTCTGGATCATCATTATAACTCCTAACTACAGATTCCACCCAAAGCTCTATCTTGGGTCCTCTTCTCTCTCTACACTCAGTCTCTTGGTGAACTCACCAGCTCCCAGAGGTTTATCGTCTCTATGCATATAGTCTTAAATTTAGCATCTGTATGTCCACTCAGCTTCATTCAACTGCCATTGGTCATTTCAAAGAGGAAGTTTTCACCCACATGTCAGCTCCTGAGAGCAAAGGGCTATCAGGCTGCTTAAGGAGGGGCAAACAGACCCAGGTTGGAAAAATGGAACAGATCAAAGCCCTCATGATAATCAGCAGTGAGATTTGGTCTGGGAGTAGACACTGAACTTTCATAATGGGCAAGATAGAGAGATCCAGTCTCAAACCAATAATGAGCTGCAACCTGTACAACAGAACAACTCTAAACATTACTATGCACAGCAAGTATTATATTAATCTATTTTAGTATTTCTCTATGCACTGGAGGTTTTGACACAGGGAACTTTAATATCTTACTTGGAAATCCGCCTGCAGTACCGCATCTTCAAGACATGAAGCTGTTTGCAGCCTTCCAGAAGGTATTCAATGGCTTTGTCAGTAAGGTATACACATCCAGAGACATCCAAGAAGTGAAGATAGTGGCATTTTTTGCTCAAAATCCTTATGGCCAAGTCATTCATCTGCATATACAACCAAAATAACTTAGCAACTATTCTAAGGAGCTACAATGCAACAAAATATAGTTATTACTGGGCCCATTATACGGATGCATAAACTCTTGCATATTAAAACTGTACTAAGACTTTTTAGATACCCAGCACAGTTTCATTTACACTGCTAGTCAAATCTTATCTTGCCAGACACAAATGTGTGACATAGAGACCTTATGGTTAGTTTGTAACAAGAGTATTAATTCTGCAGCCCCCCATTTTTTTACAGGTGTTCAGCCATATTGTCATTTCTAAAAAGTTGAGCATCAGTAAACAAAAATGAATTTTCTCAGGCAAATTAAGCACAAGATTCTCCATAACTTGTTTTTTTAATCTAATTTTACGTAATCTACTCCTGCTTAAAATTTACTATCCTGTTTTGGCTCCATTCTGCTCCACAGAGCTTTTAACTTACCTAGTTAAGTAAATGTAAAATGCTTTACATGTTATCTCATTTAACCATCACAACAACCCTGAGAAATAGGTGATATTATTAAACCTATTTTACAGAGGAGGAAAGTGAGGCTGAGAAAGGTTAAGTGACCAGTCTGGGGTCAAACAGCTAGTAAGAGTTTGTGGCATAATTTGAACTTAGGTCTTCCTGACTACAAGGCTAGCACTCAATCCACTGCACCATCTCACTGCTAGTTTGTGTTTTACAATCTTTTGTCCCAAACTTTAGGACTATTTTTGAAGTGCCTATAAAGTACTCTTACTACCCCAAACCCCATCAACACTGAAGAATTCATTAACTGAAAACATTGTCAAGAGCAACTTTTGATATATCGTCTTAGTTGATCCTTTCATCGGACATCTGTTCATTGCATTTCACAGGTTCAGACTACCTAAGAAAGTGTGAGGACATCTGCCTTGTGGGAGGGATGGGGCAGGGCGGGAATGACTTGCATTTTTACCTTTTTGTGTGCATTTCTGTGAAGGGGAAAGGAGACAGAAACACAGAAGAAGGAAACAGAAGTAGCCTTTCCCTCTGGAAACTCTACCGAGTGCCCTGTCACCATAGGAATGCTCCCATCCCTCTTGCAGGAGGTATTTCAACTCTGCTTCTGGTGCCAAGAAGCCAGCTCTTTTCTGGGCAAATTTTTTGGGCATAAATATGATTTGCTGTAGGGCCAAGTAGATAACTGCCCCCAAGAAAATTTTTTAAAATTTAACTGAGTATAATGTCTTGTTTGAAATGGTTGGATGTTCTAAAAGCTATACATCACAACATTCAGCTAAAGAGACTGCTTCGAATGTAATTTTTAACATAAAGCCAAAAAGTTCTAAAAAACACCCCAACCTCCTCTGTTTCAGAACTGTGCATATTTAGCATTAGGAAAAACAGATGTCCTAACTGTCTACGCATGTCTTGGTTTCCAGAACATGCTCCAGGACAAGTATATAGCCCTCCCATCAGTTACTTCCCCACCACTGCAACAGCTGGAGCTCCCAACAGCTCTTTCCACTCTACCTTATGAATGCCCTGGGACCTGACACCATTGCAAAGCGAGCTCTAAGACTGGCTTCTTTTTCAGGGTCTTTTAATTGGGAAGGAGGAGAGGGATAATGAATAGATGGGAAAAGTCCATGGCAGTGTGAGAAATGAGGTGGATTTTCATGTGTGTTGAGTGAAGGGGAGGTTTCATTCTCTATTCTCACATCATATAACTCTGTGCTGTGCTATGCCCCCAAGGCAAAAAAAAAAAGTGAATGGAGGTTGGTTATATCATTCCTATATAATCTATAAAACTAGGTCCTGTTCTTATTATTTTATTGGGGATATGGATGGTATTATGTACTGTAGTTTGCCTTATCCACATTCTGTAAATGTCTGATGATGGATAAATGACTTAAACTTCTGTAATCCTCAGTTTCCTTACTTGCAAAATAAGGATGATTGGCAGCTAGGTAGCACCATAGTGCACAGAGTGCTGGATCTGGAAGAATCATCTTCCTTGATTCAAATCTGGTCTCAGGCACTTGCTAGCTGTATGATTCTGGGCCGGTCACTTAACCTTGTTTGCCTCAGTTCCCTTGTCTGAAAAATGTACTGGAGAAGGAAATGACAAACCACTCTAGTTTCTTTGCCAACAAAACCCCAAAACGGGTCATGAAAGGTTGGACACTACTCAGACAAATCAACAACATGAGGATAATAATGCTGACATTTCCTACCTCACGGGGTTGTTGGAAGGAAAGATCTTTAACACACCTTATGCAATTATATGTTAATTATTTTTATTCTTTTTATTATATTATGTATTAGACATCCCAATTAAGCTGGATATTCCAGATACTCCTTTTTTCTTTACAATTTTACTTAAAAGATGTTTTACAACACCAGCTGGCAGAATAGGAACTAGGATGAACAGACTTGGGCTTTATCATGAGGAAAATGACATGGAGAGAAGGGGAGTACCCTTTGTCTCTGGTCTTCTACCAGCCCATATGCCACATGGATCTGACATCCTATCATCATAGTGCTAGGTACACCTTCCTGAGACTTGCCTCCCTACTCCTTCAAACCATTTTGGCCCTAGGTGAAAGAATTTTTAATTCTGGTTCTGGCATATAAAGCTTGTAACTGCAGAATGACTTTCCACTTTAAGTTAGAGTTGGTTTTCAATTCAATGTAACAATTATTATGTACCTGTTGTATGTGAAGCACTGTATTTCTTTACAAGTTGACAAAGGGTTAGACATACAAACAATAATCTCTCCCTGTATATTGCCAGCTTCCCTACTGCCTACAAACACATCCATGTCTTCCCCATTCTCAAATAGAAAATGGCATTTCCAACCATGAATTTATCTAAATCTATGGTTGTTTTGGATAAGTGAAACTTTTTAAACGAATTTACATGTGCTAGAGGACCCAAATCAGCATATTAAATGTTGTCCTATATGTGCAAATTTCTTAAGATTCAGATTTTGCTCTTTTTATTTGTTGATATAGCTAGGGCACTATGCCAAGAATCTCTTTCCAGTATTAAAAATATCCCCTTCAGTATATGAGATTATGTCGAGCTTGAGTTTCTCTCTATTTTTAACAACCTCTGAACTCAAAGTATTTCCAAACAAGTCAGCTGGCAGGACCAAAGTTTACCTTGAAGAAAGTCAAAAGACTTCAGAGGTCAAATCATACAATTTTACTCCATAATTAATAAGTATTCTACCCTCTCATCTTTACACTTACCCACAAATCATTGCTATACTTCTGAAGCAGAATTTGAGTTTGGGAAGGGTTGCATTCCCAACCTTTTCTTGAACAGAAACTATTTTTTTTCATCTCCTTGAAGCCTTAGGAACAGTTGTCTTGGGATAATGATAAAATAGTGATTGTGTGTGGGGTCTCTAGGGTGGGATAAGTGGTTGCAGAGTCACTGAAGGAGGAGGTTAGAGTGGAGTATTCTCTTCCCCACTGAGAAGAGAGGGAGTAATAAGGTAATAGCCTTAACCAAGACTGGGAGATTGAGAAGATGGTGGTATGGCCAAGATTAATAGGGAAGTTAGGGAGCAGGGAGGGCTTGAGGTGGGGAAAGAACTCGGGCTCAGTTTTGGACATGCTGAATTTAATATGTCTATATCTGGTTAGGTAGCACAGTGGTAACCCAATAGCAATGGCTCAGTGGATAGAATGCCAGGTCTGGAGTCAGGAAAACTCATCTTTCTGAGTTCAAATATGGCCTCAGACACTTACTAGCTGGGTGACCCCAAGCAAGTCACTTAACCCTGTTTGCCTCTGTTTCCTCATCTGTAAAAATGAGCTGAAGAAGGAAATGGCAAACCACTCCACTCCATGCCGAGAAAACTCCAAATGGAGTCAGTGAGAGTTGGACATGACGGTAAGACTGAACATATGCGGTTCAAGATATCCAACAGGCAATTGGATATGTGAGACTAGAATGTAGGAGGGCTGGACAAGCAGGTCTGAGAATCATTTGCATAGAGGTGATAATTGAATCTAACAAGATTACCAAGTGAAACGGTATATAGAGAGAAGAGAAGTGGGCATAGGAGAGCCTTGGAGGATACCTATAGTTAGTGGGCATGACTTTTGGATCCAGCAAAGGAGACTGAGGGGTGATCAGACAGGTAGAAGGAGAAGCAGGAGAGAACAGTGTCACAAAAAACTAAAGAGAAGAGCGAGTACATCAAGGAAGAGAAGGTAACCAATAATGTCAACGTCTGTAGAGAAGTCAAGAGGAGGAAGATTGAGAAGAGGTCATTAGATTTGGCAATCAAGCTATCATTGGTAACTTTGGAGACAGCAATTTCAATTCAGTGATGAGGTCAAAAGGCAGACTGCAGAGAGTTAAGGAGAAAGTGAGAGGAAAGGAAGTGGAGGCATCGCATGTCAATGGCCTTCTCAAGGAACTCAGCTACAAAAAAGGAGAAGAAATAAAGGACAACAGTGTGTAGGGATAGACAGATCCATGAGAGTTCTTTGAGAATCGGGAAGACATGGATGTGTTTGTAGGCAGTAGGGAAGCTGGCAATGTACAGGGAGGGATTGAAAATTCATGAGAAAGATGGGGGTGATGGAACAATCTGCTAGAAAAGACATCTGAAGGAATGATAAATCTTTCTCTGCTTCCTTCCATTAGCTTGGTCATCTGTAAAATAGGAACAATAATATTTGTACTATGCTATCTCATCGAGTTTTCAGAGGAAAGTACTTTGTAAAACTTCAAAGAGGGCTTATAAATATATTATTATAATTTACAGCTGTGAAGTAAATAAAACATCCTCCCAGACCTGACTGCCAGAGCAGTGCTTCACATATCTTTTATTTGTTCATTCATTCAACAAACATTAATTAGTCCCCTTTTTCATTCACTGTGCTAGGCTATTTATGCAAGGATACACAATGTTTCCTATCTTCAAGGAACTATCTAGTAGAAACAGATAACACATGAACATAATTAAACAAAATATAGGCTAGAATGTGCTATGTGTAGAAGAAGACTACAAAGTGTTTTATAAATAGCTGTGTCACATCTGAATGTTTTGGCCTCCAGGAAATATGCAAAAAGAATACCCTAATTTTAACTTTTCCCAGTGTGCAAAGGGAATACCCTAATTTTAACTTTTCCCAGTATCAGACAAAGTTCTTTATTCCATTTCCCATCCCCACCTTTTTCACCAACTGGTCATGTTACCTGGCACCTCAATTCTAAGGCCCACGGAGCCCCAACTACTCTCCTAGCATGCTCTGCAGTAGGAGTAGCTGCCAAAGTACCTAGATGGCAGGATAGGGGGCGCTACAAGGCGCTATGATTGTTAGAGTAGCGGAAAAGAAAGTGAGCGATGTTGGTGCCCTATCTGTGTTCTGGAAACCGTGACAGGGCTAGAGAATTAGAACACACCTGGTTTTACCTGGTTTTAAACAGGCACAGTTCTGAGACACTGTGGAGGAGTTTTACTCTGAATGTTCACAGCTTACTTGTGTAAGCCAGGCACCGTCCTTGGTGTGAAAGACGATCTTTCACTTCTTCCTCTTGGTGCTTTCCCTTCTTAAAAAGGCTTGTCCCTACTTCCTTTTGCAGTATAATGAGGCTGTAGAGATAACTGGGAGATACAAGCTCTCTTCTGACCTTTATGAAGACTGAACTGATGAGGAGCAAGGTTTCTTCAGGTGTCAGTTACACTGGTCTAGAAGCAAATGGTTCTATAGCTGACCCAATACTTTCGATAGGAGTAGGCCACGAGGCAGGGCAGCTAGGTGGTACAGTAGATAGAGTGCCAGCCTGGAGACAAGAAGACTCTTCTTACTACTTACTACTTACCCCTACTAGCTGTGTGACTCTCAGCAAGTCACTTAACAATGTTTGCCTCAGTTTCCTCATCTGTAAAATGAGCTCCAGTATCTTTGCCAACAAAACCCCAAATGGGGTCATGAAGGGTTGGACACACAACCGGACAACAACAAAGGCCATTACGTTAAACTTGTAACTTGCCCTGTCCCTGTAGTGTGCTCCCTAGGCCACCCCACTGCTCTTCCAACTTCTGCTTAAACTTGACCATCAGAACATTTCCACTGTTTTGGAAAGAGTGCGTCAGGACACAGCTTTAGGGCTCTGTGCAGAATCCCCATGATTCTGAGTTGTAGGTTGCTTTGGGCCACTTCCCACTTCTTGAAACCCACCCTGCTTAGCCCCATCCCTCCTGCACTTCTAACCCTATCTACTGTCCCCTTCTACTGTTCTCCCCTGGAATCTCCATTCTGTTGTTGAAAAACTGTACTTCATTTTAGACCTATGTCCTTCACCTGCCCCCAGAAATTGCCTTATACATATTTTAGATCGGCACATGATTTTCCCTCCATAGAATGTAAGCTCTTTAAGGTCAAGGACTTTTTCATAAACAATGCATTTCATTAAGCACTACTACCTTGCCCCACAACTCTTCATAGGCCATCACACATTCTGAGTTTGTTTTCTGATTGTGAAATCAGAAATAAGACCAATAGCAATAATTATGGTTTTTCACAGAGGATAGACCTCAGGGTCTGGAGTCAGGAAGACCTGAGCTCAAATCCAGACTCAGACACGTACTAGCTGTGTGACTTTGGGCAAGTCACTTAACTTCCATCTACCTCAGTTTCCGCAAATGCGGATAATAATAGCACCTACCTCCCAAGGTTGTTGTAAAGACAAAAACAAAGTAATATTTGTAAAAGCGTTTAGCACAGTGCCTGCACACAATAGGCACTATATATAAATGCTAGTTATTATTATTTCTCCAAATCTTTTGGAACATTTAAAGCAGTTTGCATTATTTAATTTCTACATCTTCAATTATTACTGGTTATGTAGTTATGGTTCTGTTTTGTTTTTTGGCTGGGCAAAGGGGTTTAGTGACTTGCCCAGGATCACACAGTGTTAAGTGTCTGAGGCCACATTTGAACTCAGGTCCTCCTGACTCCAGGGCCAGCACTCTATCCACTAAACCACCTAGCTGCCCCTATGCAGTTATGTTAATAGTCAATTCTAAGCCATAATAAAGTCAACTAACTGTGTTAAGGAAGCTCAGTGACATGGAAAGAACAATTAACCTAATTCAAAGCCTATCAATTTATTTATCAGTAACATGAGAATAATACCGCATAATCAACCTCACAGGATTTTTAATTTTAAGGGTCAAATGACAAAATATAATTGAAGCATTCTATGAACGTGAAGTGTAATATATATATGCATATATATAAATGTGTGTATATACATATATATATGTAAGCTATTGTTAATACTACTACTGGGGAAAATGATAATTTCTCTGAAACTCTCTGTTCCTCCATTTATTAAAAAAAGTTGAGATAGTTGTACCCCTATCCATATGTTACACTGTAGGGATGTTGAGAACATAAATGAGATGTGGGGGTGGAGAGGAGGGTTCATTCCTTTGGAAGCAAAAGCACAATTGAATGCCAGAACATTATTCTGCTTGATATTATGATATAGTATGATTATGCTGGCAGACTTATACATTGCAAAGAGAACAGGTCAAGAATGAGTCACACTTCTGAACATCGAACTCTCTGGGTCCTCTCTGAGCTTTTCTCTGCCTTGACTTTTATACATACCTTTGGACAGCCAGCAATGTTAAGCGATGTGAGCCTACAACACTTAGCAGACAGTGCTTTCAAAATTTCTCCAGAAAGCTTGGGGCAGTAAGAGACATCTAAATGTTCCAAATTTGGTGTCGACTGACAGAATTCCTGTAAAACATTCCAAAGTTGGCAATCAATTTCCCTTTCATAACTGAATCTTTTCCAGTACAGAACATTATACTCTCCAACACACACATGCACACAACTATTGCCTCCCTGATAATATTGAAATCCCCAAGATTGAAGTCAAATGTTCTCAACAACACCAAAAAAGCTCTCTAGTTGTAGTTATCACATCTTATATTTGTGTGATTATGTACCTCTAAAGGCTTTTATTTTTTCATTTGATGATTAACATTTTAGAAATTCTGAATTGCTATAAATTTTCACTGGTTTGAAGACCTAAATTGAAGACACTGATCAGGTCTTTTCTAACCTATAGAGTGACATCTAACACTCAATCAATAAACATTTTTTAAGCTCCTATTATGTGCCAGGCACTGTACTAAGTACTAGATTATGCAGATGAATTTTGTTCCTTCTAAATTAAGTCAGATCTCCCTTGTGACTTAAAATTAGAATTTTCAAAGTCCTTTTTTCTCAAATGGAAAGAAAAATAGCAAAGTAGAATGCATGTGATATACTGGCATTTACTGATATACTGCAAGCGTCATTACATATTCCTGGGACTAGAAGGGTATAGGTGAAGATCTTATCAGTAGAACAAGGATTCTTAACATTTTTTGTGACCCTCTTTGGGAGTCTAATGAAGACTAGGGACATTTCCCCAAAATAATGATTTTAAATGCATAACATAAAATACATAAGATCACAAAGGAAACCAAATATATTGAGTAAGTTACTAAATTTTTAAAAAAACATTTCATTAATCCCAAGTTAAGATCCCTTAGTGTAGAACCATATACATAGAAGCAAGGTCTAGAGTTAAAACTTTTCCTTCTATAATCTCAAAGATAAGGAAAAAGGGACTTAAAGGCAATAACTAAGTACATAAGAGGAAGAGGAGTTGAATTGAATTCTTCATCTTCAAGGGCCTAGGTCCAAGAGCTCTTGATTTGGTAATGGTTCTATAGCCAAGACTGTAAGGCTCTTATGCCATTTTGTTTGGCAGTATCTTTTAAAAACATTTTATCTTTAACACACAAAAAAAGAGCATTTCTATAGACAATATAACACAAAAAAAGAATTTTACATGAAACCATAAATATCCGTTTTACTCTACTACCATTAAAAAAAGTATAATAAATTCAACATATTATACTTTCCAAACTGTCCTTCCTATCTGTGCTTTCTTCTGAACTTCCTCCTATTTCCTTCTGTGAATTTTTAAATAAAGCTGTTACAATAGCCCTCTTTTTTGGGGAGCATCACTATTGCTACCCTCTTCCAATTTACCAAGACAAATAAAAGGGGTAAACCTTTTTTTTAAAGCAAGTATATATAGTTAAGCAGGACAAATCCATGCAGTGGCCATGGTCAAAAATACACATCTCTGTACCTTGTACATGACCTCTCTCTCCGGAGGTGGGTAACATGTTTCATCATAGGTCCTCTGGCCATTGCTTTGATCAGAATTCTTATCTTTCAAAGTTGTTTTTCTTCAGAATGTTGTTGTTCTTGTATAAATTGATCTCTTGGTTCTGATTACTTCACTTTTCATCAGTTCATGCTAACTAGGATTCTCTAAAATCCTTACTTTTGTCATTTCTTACAGTACAATAGCAATTTGTTTAGGCATTCCCTGATTGTCTAAGAGGCCATCTAATACATCCTTTTAGATTCTAGCTCTTTTCTTTTTTACTTTTTTTCTTCCCTTTTAATCTACCAACCTCCCTGCACACTTCTCCTGACCAACCCCTTTCAGGACCAGGGAGTTTATTTTGCTAGTGACTATTCTTTTTCTGGTATTATCCTCCCTTGCAACCCCACTCTTATCCCTACTTGTTTACCTGTTAAGTTTGATGTATTTCTTCACCAACTCTGTGTGCGTGCGTGTGTGTGTGTGTGTTCTCTTTTGTTTCAGATAAAGCTGAGGTTTATCTGATGGCTATCCTCTACACGCCTTCCTCCATGTTTGTATTTTCTTTCCACACATTCCATTTATAAGAAATAGCAAGTTCCACTCCCTTCTTCCTGCTTTCTGTACTAGTGTATTCCTAATTTCACCTTCCCTTTTCTTTCCCTTCTTCACATCCTTCAAACCAAGCCAATCTAGCCATAGACCTTCAGTTTTTCTTATTTAATTGCCTCAAAACCATTTAAAAATATTAAGGTTCTAAAAGGATAGTTGTTTCTTCTAGAATGCTAACACTACATCATTATACTGTTCTTTTTAATTGCTCCAATGAGTTTATCTTTCTAGGTTTAACTGGACTTTTGTGTTTGTATTTCAAAATTCTTATTCAGCTTTGGTCTTCAGACCTCCATTTCACTAAAGGTCCATTTCTTCCCTGTAGAATTATACTCAGCTTTATAGGTGTTATTCTTGATTGTAAGCCTTTGTCTTTTGATTTTTGGAATACTGTATTCCAAGATTTCCTCTGGTTTCTAGTAAAAGCTGCTAGGCCTTGTGTGATCCTAATTCCAGTTCCTTGGTACTTGAACTTTAACTTTCTAGATAGTTTCAGTATTTTTTTTTTGACACAGAAATGCTAGATTTTGGCTATAGCATTCTGGGATTTTTCCTCTTCAAGTTCTTTTCAGGAAAGGATCAGCAAATTTTATCTTTATTTTGCCTCCTTATTCTAATAAAACTGGGCAGTATTCATTTGCAATTTCTTAAAATATAGTACTCAAACTTTTTTTTAAAATCTTTTTTTTTTCAGGGAGTACAATGACTCTTAAATGATCTCTCCTTCAATTTGGAACTATGCCCAAAGGGCTATAAAACTGTGCATACCCTTTGATCCAGCAATACTACTACTAGTTCTGTATCTCACTTCTTTTTGTGGTGGCTATGAATTGGAAATTGAGGGGATACCCATCAATTGGAGAATGGCTGAACAAGATATGGCATATGATTATAATGGAATATTATTGTGTTATAATAAATGGCAAGCAAGATGATATCAGAAAAACCTGGGAAGATTTACATTAATTGATGCAGAATGAAGTGAGCAGAACCAGGAAAACACTGTAAACAGTAATGGCAATATTGTATGATGAACAACATGAATGACTTAGCTATTTTCAGCAATACAATGATCAAAGACAATCCCAAATGATTCATGATGAAAAATGCTATCCACCTGCACAGAAAGAACTGATGGCATCTGAATACAGACTGAAGCCTACTATTTTTTTCCTTCCTTCTTTTTCTTTCTTTCTTTCTTTCTTTCTTTCTTTCTTTCTTTCTTTCTTTCTTTCTTTCTTTCTTTCTTTCTTTCTTTCTTTCTTTCTTTCTTTCTTTCTTTCTTTCTTTTCTTTCCTTCCTTCCTTTTCCTTCCTTCTTTCCTTCCTTCCTTCTTGGTTCAAGTTTTCTTCCACAAAATAACTAATATGGAAATATGTTTTACATGATTGCATATGTATAACCTATATCAGATTGCTTACTGTCTCAGGGAGGGCCTATGGGATGACAGAAGGATAGAATTTGAAATTCAAAACTTAAAAAAAACCTTATGTTAAAAATTGTTTTTACATGTAAATGGAGAAAATAAAATAGTATTTAGAGTGAAAAAAAAATGACCTCTCCATTTGTTTTCTAGGTCAGTTGTTTTTGATGATCAGATATCTTATATTTTCTTCTATTTTTCAATCTTTGAATTTTGTTCTAATATTTCTTGCTGACTCATGGAGCCACTGACTTCTATTTTGTCTTTTTTAATTTCAGGTATTCCATTTCTTGGCTTTACCATTTTCTTTTTCAAGCTACTTATTCTACTAATTCCTTCCTCAAGAGCTTGCATTTAATTGTCTAACTTTTGTTTTCCTAGATTTTCAATAGACCTTTGTGGGATATGTTTTTTTTCTTTTGAGACTTTGCTTTCAGTTGTTATGGATTAGATTTGTAACACATTTTTGATACCGTTTGGTGTTTTCTTTGATTTACTCATTTCTCCAGCTTTAGTTCCTGAATTGGAGATTGTGCCAGGGCCAGTCTTTGTTCCGGTGCAGATCTGAGTAGGGTTGTTGGCTCTACTTGATTTCACCCTTAGTCCCCTGGGGTTTTTCAGTGACTTTCACCTCCCAAGATTAGAATCCCCTGGATCTTTGAGGTTCAGAGCACTGGATGCTCAGGGTCCTCTTGGTCATCTTAGAACAGAAAGTCAGGGTACTTAGAAGACCCTGGGCCTGGGCTTTCTCCATCTGAGCACTGCAGCTCTATACTGAGCAGAAAAGTGCTTCTGTTCTCCACCATTACTGTTCTCTAGGGCTTTTAAGGTCCCTATCCTGAAGCTGACAATCCTGGGGATATGCTACACACATCCTATCTGTGGTTGGATCCATGCTCACTTTGATGGAGACAGGATGAGTGGAGGGAAAGGGCCTATTCTTATTGTTGTTCAGTTCTGGGGTAGAAAATGTCATGATGTCATTTCTCATTTGATTTCTTAATCATTATTTGGTTTGGTGGGAATTTCAGAGTTTTGCTGGAGTAGCTATGTGGAAGTTGGGAAAGCTGACCTTCAGTTTAGGCAGCCATTTTGGCTCGAAGTCTGGCCATAGCATTGTGCTTCCACTGAATCATCCTCTAAAGCCTCATGATGACATGGAGGCGACCTTGAGTTCTTGAGGCCAATAGCTATGAAACTCAAGCTTCCTTTCGTAAAGCTTAAAGCATAGGTGAGAGAGGTTCATCCCTAGAAAATTGGCCAAGTGACGACTTTTTCTTGGTCACATTAACCCAAGAAATAGACGAATACACAAAATATCCCATGTGTTCTCCCCTTCCATTTTATTGGCAACGTTAGCAGAGTAGAAGAAAAAAAAACAAAGGGTACTAAAAATCACACAATTCTCAGATCAACCCCAAATTTTAATTCATCCATCATCATTCAATATAAAATCTTTGTCCAATCACCAAAGGGTTGAAACATGATTGGGGGAATTGAACAATGTTTATGACAATCTCACTACAAATGAAA